AATATATAACAAAGTAAATTTTTTTAAATTGAAAAAGAAATATTATTTTTGCAATAAATAGAGAAAAAATGGTATTATGGCCCTCTATTTTAATAATTTTATTAATAATCAATATTTTATATCGAGAACTGAACGATTACATTCGTCAAAATGTCGTTCAATTGATTCTAGATTCAAAGTTATGAAATATTTATTAGGCGTTATTTATAAAAATATAGCAACATTACATAATTCGTCTAAACAAATAATTCCATAAATAATCATTAGAATTCGTCACTTGATAACGGAGATATTAAAGAGAGCCATAAAAGAGTCCGTTATACCACCTCTTTTTCTGCTGTTTTTTTCTATCGCGTAACTTGGTTTATTTTAGTGGAACAACATTTTCATTCAAACAAAATGATATTAAATTATGTTGTTTATATCAAGCAAATCCAAGTTAAACAAATATGTATACTAAATCCAAAGGAATCTTCCTCTCTGTGTAATTTTCATGATAATTTATGACTATGACTATTCGACACTGTTTTAGCAGGACGATATTTACGAGTTAATTAAATTATGCTGCCTCGCGCCAAGCGAAATAGTCGATAAAGAGAACGAGGAAGAACGCGCGAGGAATGTTTCCTTCCTTTTTTAATCTGCCAGACAGCTTGTGTAATACACGTGTTCCCCTCTGAACGGAAAAAGTCTGGGCTTCAAGGAATCAAAAGAAAACAGAATCAAAAGACAGAACGATCGGACGCTCCGGGCCACGCATCCTGCCGGCGTTCGTTTCGCGTTTCGAAATAAAAATATTTTATCCGATTAAAGCGCGCGACGTGTATATTACGCTTCGCCGCGAATTCGTCCGTCTCGCAGAATGCGAAAACAATATGCACTTATGCGGAGTGTTTGCTTGTGCAATTTTCGCGAGGCGCTCGTACTTTTTATCCGAAAACAGCATTTTTTAACGTGCCCCGATGCGTTCTGCAAAACGCCAGTTCCCGTCGCTTCTGATGAGGTTTTCTTTACGTTTGTCGCTAAAATACTACTATATAGCGGATAGAGCACGACGTCGTTGCCACATAGTGCAATCGCACGATACGTACGAATGTGCGGAACGATGTACGCGTACGTGAGCGTACAGAGTTGCACGTCGCAGTGAACTCGCGTAAATAGTGACTAAAACCTAACAACCGTATTGTTCTGTAACTGTTATGCAGCCAACGTCTTTTTTCACGGCAATTTACCGCCGTTTAGTCGCGCTCGCGGCGCCATAGCGGATCGCGCATTATTTTCAATTCCTCTTCTTTCCTCCCCGTCGACCAGATTTACTTTCTACATTTCTACCGAAATGACAAGCGCCCGTTTGCCCTAGTTACCCGGGATAAACGCTTCGAACGATTTCAATCCCCGTTTCCACGCTCGACGTTTTTCGGGTCGAGGCTAGTTACGAGTCGCGAGTCCGGTCGAAATTAGCGTGCGAAACGTGAATAAGGAATTGGACGCCCTTATAGTGTCTCGCACAGTAGTTTCGCAAACCGCGTCCACGCTCGAAACTTGGATTAGGCTCCTTAGAACCTGGCGACTGACCGTGTTTGTATTAGCCGAGTCAATCTTTGTAATTAAATCGCGGAATCAATAAGAAGTAGTACAAAAATGTGAACAAATTTAAATAGGAGAAGTAATATAAATGACAGAACAATTATAATCGTAGATGCTTATTGTCATAAAAGTAACATCATTTTATTAACATGTTCGTAAACTATTATATATATATGCACATGTGTTTATATGTGTGTGTGTGTGTGTGTGTGTGTATAAACATAATTTATAAACTGAACAATCTTCTAAAATAGAATTATATAGAATTAAATAAAAATCATTTAACTGTAGAATGCATCGTTTTGCCGCTACAAATTACTTTCTTCCTAAGTCGACTTTGACTCCAATCATTTTGACTCCTGCTCATTTACATTTCTACTTCAATTATTTGTAATCACACAGTTAATCGACTATCTCCTAAGGCAAGAATTCTAATTTTGAACCATTCGTTTCTGTTGTAAATATGAAGTAGAAGTGTGTGATTTATAATTTACACGCATTAATTTAATATCGCAAGAAACGATATAATAGTTGTACTCGCCATAAAGATTAATTCTTTGTTCAAAACGATATATAATTCAGTAATAATCACGTGTTTCGCAATGAAATAGATGCCATTTTATTACAAAATTATTACAGCGGCCGGATTCGGTGTTTTAAGTACTCGAACTCAGATCGTTTCGGGATGCAATCGTCTCGCGTTGCCTCCGGCCGGCTGCGTTCCGAAATTCACTGCCAGCGCTGAAAATCTATAGATCAAGTTACGCATACTACAAATTTGCAGCAGTGAATATTGGAACGCAGCCTAATATACACGAGTACGAGCGAGACTCATGAAAAACGCCGATTATTGATTTCATCGTTGCGTCGAGGGGGAGAGAGAGAGAGAGAGAGGGAGAAAGAGAATATGCCGCGAAATGATTTTGTTGCAACTTTTGCGCGTTCGCACATGCGGCGAATGCGAGCACATGAATACGATCATTTTAATCGCTCCTTAATTAGTACTTTGTGCGCCGTGTCACGCGAGCGAGCTTCCCTCTCGCGGTCATTTGCCTTGCATCGGCGCGAAATGGAATGGAATATGTACGCTTTATTATACTTTACGGGCCCTCGAGGTAGGCGCGTCCGCTCGTTCGTTCGTTCGTTCGCGCGCTACAATAAAAGCGATTAAGCTCACAATTAATCTACGTTACGATCCGCGGGACGCCCGCCTTTCATCGGCGATACTCGCATTAATTATCGGCATGAAAGAACCGTCGTCCGCGTGCGCGCGGCGGTGCCGGCGCCACCGCTCATTCGATGACTCGAGGACGACCTCGGTGCCGGCGTTTACAATGGCATTACGTTGCTATTGGTAAGGAACAGGGTGACCAGCACGCGACCAGAACGAGAACCCACTTCGATACGGATAACGGTGTAAGGAAACGCTCTGGTGATCGCGTAAGATATTCGTTATGTGTACCATACACGTTATATATTGCTCGAGCGAGCGGCGTACGCTTACAGCTCGCGCTCACCGTACGGGTCATGGTAGGCCGTGCGTTCTTCTTTTTTTTCTCTTTTTTCGAGACAGCTCCGCTCCCGATCGCGCCGTATCGCGGATATCAGATCCGATCCGTGAGTTCATGCGTATGTATTTACCGCGGCAGGTGCGTTGCCTTCACGCCG